TCGGGGGGTCGCACACACATACAGAGAGAGAGATGCAAAGCAACGCAGCGGCGACGGCGGCGGCGGCGGCGGCGGCATCGACAGGCACGAGGTGGCAGCCAGACAGACAAAACGCGCACTAACACAAACGCAGCGGCGTCCCAAAACGCAGCAGCAGCAGCATAATGTAGTTGTGTGTGTGTGTGTGTGTGTGTGGGTGGCGGCCTGGCTTACTAAAGGCCGCCGCCGGCCGACACAGCGACAACAACAACAACAATAACAACACACACACACACACACACACGGCAAAGGGGCAAGCGCCAACCAACACGCTCTCACAAACAGGCAACGGCAACTTCGCAAAAAAAAAAGCAGCCGCGACAACAACAACAACCAACTAAACGGGCAAAAAAATGCCACGCACACATACACACACACACACACAGCGAAAAAAGCAGAAAAAAAAGATTCGGTTGCATAGGCGGCGTCGCTGCTGGCGCTATTCAAATGCTGCGCCGTCCACAGCAGCAGCGCTGCCAGCGTCGCAGCCACCTGACAGAGCAACGCCAAAACAACGATAACAACAACAAGAGCAGCAACAACAACAACTACAACAACAACAACAAACAGGCGAGCGGGCAGCAGGCAGTCGCCGTCAACATTGACCCAAACTCAATTTGGTGTGGGGCAAGTTTGGAGCCAACCGATGGGCTCTAAAAAACGCGCAAAATACAAAAAAAAAAAAAAAGTATTGTATGTGTAAAAAATTTAAAAAGGGGAATTTTTGCCCACGCACACACACACACACACACGCGCACAAAGCAGCATGCGCACACACACATAAAGACATACAAACGCATGGAATTTTTTCGCTGCCAGCGTCGTGTTAGCCTTTGCCTCCCCCAAATTCGCAGCCAGCCCCCGCCAACCCCCACCTAACGCAGTCGCCGCCCCCGCACCCAAGCCAATGGTCTGCCATTTTTTCCAGCATTTTGTTTTGTTCGACTTTGATGCTGTCTGGTTTTTTTATCCCTTTATTTTTTTGCTGTTTGCATTGAAGAGCTCTTTGCAATTTGACTTTGCATTTTGCTTTTGCCTTTGCTTTTGGCTTTGGCTGTGGGTTTTGGCGGAGCGGCGGTGTATAGCATGTAAAAAATGTCAGCTTCATAAATTAACTAATTATGCGGCCAACAATTGTGATTATAATTGCAATTATTTGTATATCATTTCTAATTTTGATAACGTTTTAAACAAATTTTATTGTTGCGCTTAAAAGTAGGCAACATATTTGTCGCCGCGTGGTTGACGCTACGCACGTGCAGCGCTGGTCACACTAAAACATGGCGCAGTGTTGGCAACCGCCGCGGCCGCCGCGTTTTAAGGCACTCTATCAGTCTGGCGTCGAATTACGCCAGGGGGAAAACCAAAAAAATACAAAAACACAACTCGAAGCGCAGCAAAACTGAAAAAATATTTCAAACACACTCACACACACACACACACACACACACACACAGTTACGCAGAGCACACCTCAGGCAATCTCCGCCCTGACCTAAGCCATCTCGTGGCTTAACTGCCAGCAGCAAGCCTCGTGCTCACACACCACTACACACACAGGCCCCACACACTCCCTCCCCCCACTCCCCACACACACACACACCTCCACACAGACAGGCCACAAAGCGCACTCCTTCCGCTGCGTTGCAGCCGTCGTTTGTCTGCTGCTCGTCGCCGTCGCCGTCACCGTCGCCGTAGTCGTGGTCGCTGCTATTCCTAAGTTGTTTTTTTTTTACCTCCTCCTCCTCCTCCTCCTCCTGCTATGGCTGCTGCTGCTGCCCCATTGCAACCTTGCCTCAACTTCTACTCCATACTCTTCAGCAGCTCTGCTTGCCCCTCTCACTGCGCATTTTTGCTTTTATTTTTTTTCACATCTTCCATTTCCATTTGCTGTGCATTTTTTCCATGCAGCCTCCCCTTCAACATTTTTTTTTTCCACCGCCACCTTGTCACAGGAAACAATTTTTTCCATTGCCTCGTGCCATCTCGCTCGCACGCCGCACTTCTGACCCGCTCAAAAACAGCATTTTTTCTGTTCCGTTTTGCTTTGGCTTTGCTTTTGGCCACTTCTATCGCCCCTTCTGCACGTTGTTGCAGTTGCTTTTGTATTTTGTGTTTTGTATTTGCATTTGCTTTTAGATTTTGTTATTTTCTTCTTTCTTTTTTTTTAGTTTGTTTCAATTGAGTCACACGGAAAATTGTGCGGCGGCAAAAAAATTCGTAGAGTTGCCATTGAAAAATTTATTTATTATAAATTGCCGTTTTTAGTGTTAAATAATTGGGTTAGACTATTGAGGCTATTGAGTACAGCAGCAAGTCAAGGGTATATCAGTTTAAATGGATTTTGGCAGAAGCGAAGGGTTTTTTAAAATGAGCTTGCAAACCTATAGATCATATAGTTAGCACGTCTTAATAATTTAAACAAAATAATTGATCTCTGACATAGAATCCAACTAAGAAAACTGAGCCTCCATTTTAACCCAAATGTACACTGGCAATATTTTGCAATCAAAATTGATTAGTAAATATTTAATGATAATTTTTAAAAAGTTTACGTTTCATTTATTTACTTTTTAAAATTAAATTTTTTTGGTTTATTGCAAAATTATTGTATGATGAGGTAAATCTTTTTTTTTTTAAAGCATTTCAAAAACATAAAAAACATTAGCATAGGTTCGCATTTTTTGGGTCAATACGAATTCTCATGAATATATATAAAATATATAGTTTTTATATCCATTTTTTTTTTAAGTTTGTTAATTTGCATACACTTAGCTCTAATACCTTTACCTACTTCTAATTTGTATACCTTGAAAGGATTGCTATCTTCTAGCACTTATCAAACATCAGCTGCAACATTTTCACTTGTAGTCGGAAGAGAAAACATTTCAATATTTACACTTTTAGAAAAACTGTGGCAACATTTGTGTGTGTGAAAAATTAATTAACACCATGTGGCAACACTGTCAGTGGATTTTGATGTAATGTTTCCTTCTTTTATTATTGTGTGTGTGAGGTCAGTCTGTGTGTGTGTGTGTGTGTGTGTGTGTGTGTGTCTGCTCGTTCTACGCTGTTTTGCATTTTGCTTTGGTTTGCTTTATTTTTTGTTTCTTTTTTGCATGTCACAGAGATTTTTTAGTTGTTTTGTTGTGTGTTGTTGTATTCGAACACAGTGGGCAGTCAAAATCACACACACACACACACACACATACGCATACGCAAGGTGGATTTGTTGGTGGTGGGGTTAGAGGGGAGTAGGGGAGTTGGGGAGTGGGGCAGTACGGTGGTTTTTGGGGGCAAAGCCCGCATATTTGCTATGGTTACTTGCATGGGCTTATGCCGATGCGTGACTGGCGTTTGTGGACTTTGAATACAAACAAAACAGACGCATACACTCAAACGCACTCACACACTCGCGGCCCACTTATACACACACATGCAATGGAAAGAGAGAGTTATGTAGATATATATGCATGTACATGTGCATTTCAATACGCATTAATAACTACGAATTCAATGCGACGCCCATCACACACACACCCACACAGAAGCAGGCACCCCATCCAATCACACACACACACACACATACATTCACATGTGCTGTCGCTGCCGCTGCCGCTGCTGCTGCTGCTGCAACTGTCGCCTAAAAAACGGCAACAAAACATAAAAATCAAATTCTTTCGCCTTTTGCCCGTCTTGTTCGTTTATTTCGCCAATTGCTGTGCCTCATTCGCACCCATCCCCCGCCCCTGCTGCCCGCCCAGCCACTGTTCGTTCAAAAATTGATGCCAAAACGCTGCGCCGGCAAGTATGCAACACATTTGTCAGACTCCAAAAATCAAAAATCGAATAAAAAATATTCAAGATTTTTATTTTTGAACTACGCTTAGTTCTTACTTTTCGCTTTTTAGATGTCCTCGCGTAAAGTTCGTTTTGTTTTTTCTTTTGGTTTCGAGTTTAGTTTTTCATTTGATTTTGCAATTTTTTGACGTATTTTGTTTGTCGGTCGCCAAACGTTTTTCCCATGCATTTTTCATCCATTTAGCGCGGCCATTGAGCGATTTTCATCGCGCTTAGAATTCATTGATACTTTCGCAAATTGTTTTTCCATCAGACGTTTTTTAAAACCAATCTCAGTGGCTTGACATTGAATTCTCAAGAGTGCCGCACAAATATTTAAAGAGAGTTTTTGTAAAGTGCCTTTGGAGATGAATTCTAAGCTTGCCATTTGTTTTGAGTATAAGCATTTTTTAATATATTGAAAAATATTCAATATGAATTGATTTTGTGTGTTCCTTTGTTGTTGGTGTTTTTTCTACTCGTTCGTAGTATTAAATATCTAGTTAGAATTAAAGTTTGTAACTTTTTCTTTAAGAAATTGTTGTTTATCTGTGCTTAAATTATACTGCAAAAGTATAACAGCACTTCCTTAATCGAAGATCGTTCTTGATAATATTCAAAATAGAAGATCGTGTAACAGAATTATCGATAGTTAAATTATAATCGATTAAAATTACTACCCAAAAATAGTTTAATTCAACAGATAATAATCGATAAGTAAAAATATCAATATTGAGCAACTTTCATTATTGCATTTAACCTAAACTCTAGAAACATTTATACATTTATCGGCTGCATCCCAGAAAAGCTATCAATTAATTATAAGAATTTAAAGGTTTCATTGGAGGCAACAAGAAATCTGTATAGAACTTAAAGATAAAGCCTAAAATAGCTCGATTGGCATGTTTATTTTTCTGCCTTGTAAATATTCAAATGTAATCAAGTAATAAAGATCATATTTTTGTAAATCTTTTGGAGATTGTTTTAAAAACAGTTATACGATGATTTGAAGCGATATATCGTAGCAGCATCGATGCCTACAAATTCGTTTCAGTTGTCTAATCAAGTTTTACTGGGCAGTCATCGAGTGAGGCGTCTGAGTTTCCATTCTATTCTGAATTCTAACTTTTTCTCTAGTCATTGTTTGAGTGCGGTTCGGTACTGAGAGAGTCTATTGAGACGAGCCGTCGTTGTTGAAGCAATAGGCAAACATTCTGCGAAGTTAACTTTAGCTGGAAAAATATTGGCAGCTGACTCAATGAAAAGTGACAGCTGATTTGGTGAGTATATGGGCGGGCGAGGAGGTATACATATGTGGTTAAGTATCAGAAGTTGGCGATAACTGGGCAAAACAGACGCTAATCGTTCGGTGGGCGATAATTGCAATTTGGTTAGTTGTTGCCACAGCGCGCTGCAATGCAGACCAAAAACCGTTTGCGACGCGAATATAATTCGTACAATGATCTGAGCAGAGAGTTTCGCATGTACGATGAGCAGTCGATGGACTCGCTGCTGGATGATCGCCTGCGCATCCACATGAATCCCAATGGCAGCGATGAGCTATCCTTGCATCGTGACGATTTCTACGCAACCGCCTATCCGCAGTCGCCGCAGCTACTGCTGCGCCAGCACAACTTCAAGCTGAAGGTCTACTACTCTAATGTGGGCAACTGCGTGCAGTGCAACAAACGGTGAGTGGCTGCAACAGCTTGAATATCTGTTTTATTGTGTGTTGCATGCTCCCGGCTACTTGCAGCATACGCTTTGCGATGGCCAGCCTGAGGTGCCGCGACTGTCCGCTGCGCTGCCACACGGACTGCTGCAGCCAGCTGACGGTTAACTGCATACCACAGCCGCTGGTCAGCACGAAGCGCGGCCACTTGAGCGACTTTGTGCCACGTGCGGCACCCATGGTGCCTGCTTTGATAGTCCACTGTGTCACAGAGATTGAGGCGCGCGGCCTGGAGCAGGAGGGTCTGTATCGGGTCTCCTCCACCAGGGAGAAGGTCAAGCGTTTGCGGCACAAGCTGCTGCGCGGCAAGGCAACGCCACATCTGGGCGACAAGGACACGCACACGCTATGCTGCTGTGTGAAGGAGTTTCTCCGCTCCCTGGAACGCCCCCTGATACCCATGTACCATAGACGCGACTTTGTGCTGGCCACACAGCAGACCGATCCGCTGGCTGCCGAGGAGCCATTGTATCTGGCCATGGTGGATCTGCCGCAATCACATCGTGACACATTGGCCTTTCTCATGCTGCACTGGCAGCGCATCGCCCAGAGCCCAGCCGTGAAGATGTCCATTAATAATATTGCCGTTGTATTTGCACCAACACTCTTCGACGATGTCGATCTGAATCTGAGTAACATTGTGCTCTGGCAACAGGTGCTGCGCATTTTGCTGCTCCAGTCGCCCGGTTTCTGGGCGCAGTTCCTTGAGGTGGAGCCGCTGCTGCCAGCTTGTTCGCTGGATGATGATGAATGGAAACGTGAAAATTACCATTCACCCAGCTGGCAAACCGTGAAAACCTATTTTAGATCTATGGTAGGTTACACTCAACACAAAGTCTTTCTCTGCTCTGTTTTCTCAAAGACCGTTCCACTTCAACAGGTTAATCTCGCTGACTGAGGCAAGTTAGTTGACAATCTGACAAATTGATGGAATACATATAGTAGCCAATAGCCGTTAGCCTTGTAATTTTATAATTTCCCAAGAGCTAGTTAATATATCCATAGACTATTAGCTTGTTTTGGTTAATTGTAATTTGAGTACAATGCGCTTATCATTAACCTTATAACACCACCACAGCTGGTTTTCAAGAAATGAGTGTGGCTTTTATATATGTGCGTAAAAACAGCGCCTTCAGAAAACAACTCGGTGAAAACTTACACCTGGAATAATAAGGTGTCCGGGAAAATGTGGAACAGTGAAGACTTGTCAATAGTTCCCACTAATTCTTTTTTTTACACAATGAGACTTGGCATTTTTCGTGAACAAGAAACTATTTGCATTTATGATGATAATAAATCTTGTGGCTCTTCAATAAAATGCTTTAAGATTTTACAACAATCAATTGATTAAGGAGACATGAAGAAAGGCCAAACTTGAGAATTTTAAAAGATTAAATTATTAAAAAATCAGTTTTTAAGGCAGGCTTCAAAGGCCTAGTTAAATTAAAATAAGGCTTGTTACATGACTACGAACTGAATTTTGAGTACCTTTTTTTTGAAATTAGAAAATAGTTCGTTCATATTAACATGCAATTTATATTCATATTTATAGTGTTCCATTCATTTGGAATTTTGACTTTATAATTGTTAAGATATTATTTTGCTAGAGCAGAAAAAGTAATCAATTATTTGCGAATTTCATGAACTTCATATTTCACCTTATAAGCAATTATTCTTTTGAAAGTTCTCATAGAAATAACGCAATCTATTTAAGCAGCTGCATTTTTCGCTTATGTTTGATATTTAAAATTTCCAATTAGTTATTAAATCTAAGAATATAAAAATTATTACGCTGGATTGTGTTTCTGTATGTTGATTATATTATTTTAAGCAGTAAACACAACATCAACTGCATACATTTCCATGTCAATAAATATGTTGTTCGTAGCGTTAATACAATAATAAAAAATTAATAAACAAAACTAAAAAAAGAAAACTAGACGTTTTAAAAACAATTTGCTGATTGTAGAGTTCAGGCTGGAAAAAATGTGCATGATTTCATGAAAAATGCAAAATACAAGCAAAACAAAACAAAACAAAACACTCAAATGCAACGGTCAAGTGCATAAATAGACACACACACACACACACACGCACACAGTCGCACACGTCAATGCATTGGAAAAATAATGTACATATAATAAAATTAAAAATAAACAAGCTACAGACTGCAATCGAAAGAGATGGCAAAAGCTGTGGACGCGAGATAGCTGTCATAGATTTGCCTGCGTGCGTATCTGATATGTGTGTGTGTATGTGTGTGTGTGTACTGTTGCTAACCGCACTAAAAATGCATGTGAGGTATACTTTTTTCGGTCGATAGAGGGCGACACGCGTTAACATTAACCAAATACTAATGCCAAAGGCCGCTGACCACTACACACACAAACACACACACACACACAAACACACACACACACACACAGGTTGGCACGCATACACGCATACGCAGGGGCAATGACAATACGCAGGGGCCACCAATACGGGGACAGGAAAAATGGCAAAAGCGAAAAAAAAATACAAAAAATAACAAAAATCAACGGCAACAATAAAAATAAATACAAAAATAGTTTACATATTTCATGCATTATATTGGATAAAATGTTAATGCCTGGCGCTTGGCATGCCTGTGTGCCTGTGTGTGTGTGTGTGTGTGTGTAGTGTAAGCTGCGCTGTTTGGCAAAAAACGTTGCCTACTTGGGGGCGCGTGTTAAAATTGTTTAACAAATGGCACGCGCGCAATGTATGTACGTGTTTGTGAGAGAGTGTGTGTGTGTGCAGCATGTATGCATAATCGCTTGCAGTTTTAACTCTTTTTTAGACTTTTTAGCCTATTTTTATTGTTAATTAAATGAGGGGAATTACAGACAACAAGTGCACATGCGTGTGTGCGGCATGAGTGTGCGCTAAACTTTTTTTATGCATTTTATAATTTTTTCTATTTTTTCGTTATTTTTTATTTTGTTTTTTGCCTAACGTGGCAAAACATTTTGCGCTCGTTTTTAGCATGTAATTTTACTAATTGATAGTGTGAGCTATTTGAGCAGCACCCGGCAAACCGCCGCGCATCGCACACTTCGGGCTGCACATGCGGCATGTCCAGTGCTTCAGTGGCTTTTCTGTGCGTGTGTAATTGTGTTAGTGCACGGCATGTAGCTGGGCAGCTGAGCAAGTTGACTGAATGCATAAAACCAAAAAAAAAAAAAACAAAAACGAAAAATAAACGCAAATGTAACTAAAAAATTGCTGTGAAAAATAATAAAAGGGGCATTACGCGTGTAGGGGTGCATTGGGAAGGGGGGGGCAGGCGCCTAAAAGGCAGCAGCAATTTAATGCAGCACACACATGCATCCGCATGTTATACGTGCGCTAATAATAAACGCGGCGCAAAAAGTGTTGCATACTTTTGTGCCCATTTTTGTTCATTCTTTTTACGTGATTTTATGTAAGCGGCGCCTTTTTTCTGGCTAGTGGGCGCAACTACGCCTCTTTTTTTTTTTGATTAATATTGAATATTTTCCACGCACAAAAATTGATATATATTGAGATTTTTGCTTAAGTAATGTATGAGCCTTAAAAACAGATTATCGCTTGAGCCTGAATTTTAAATTTAACTAATAGCTTGATGCAGACAAGTTCGGTTCACATTTGCATAAAACTCTTTTAGAAATATGTATAAATCATGTTGCATATTTGTCAAAGGCAAAGACAGCTTCACACATATAGAAGTAATTCGCTTAGAATTTCATTGCATTGATCGCATTGATTTCACACAGATGCATGCGCTAACTCGTACATTGAGAATAATTTAATAACGTCATAAAGCGAGAAGCACATAAGTATACCAGCTACTACCTGCCCATACTCTCGCACATAATTTTTTGGCCAAAAAAAAAAAATTGCAAAAATAACACTTGCCCCTCCTTTTCCAGAGTTAAAAAGCAGAGCTAAAAAATAAAAATAAAAACGAGAAAGCAGGCCAGCGCACACTAACATGATAGGCTGACTGCAGCTGTACCTCACACACACACCCACACACACACACACACACACACACACCCAGAGGCAGACACACGTGCACATGGTATATACTATATGGATACGTAGATGTGGCCAGTCAAAGGCATTAAAGAAGACAAAAAAGTATATGCTGCTGCTGCTGCTGCTGCTACAACGCAGATGCGAGTGCCAAGTGAAGTAATTCCAATTGAAGCTTTAGCTGCATTGGCAACAACAGCAACAACAACAAGGAGACTGCCAAAGCAGCGCCGTAAAAAAATGCCAAGTGTGGGTAATTAAAAACGTAGCAGCAGACCAGCAGACGCTTTTGAGCGTAGAAACGCACTAATTTTCAGTAGTGCAGCTCTCACACACACACACGCACACACTCATAAATTTGTATGCATGTGTGTGAGCTACAAAAAGAAACATGAATTTGACACACACACACACCCGTACACAACCGTACACACCCACACTCGCACAACTGTGAATTCACTCGCACGCAGCGGCTGCTACAAAAAAATTTCACAGCATACTTTTAGGCATGCTGCTATTTCACTTCGCCTCGCACAAATGAACACCTCCTCGCCCCTGTTGCTGTTGCCGTTGCTGTTGTTGTTGCTATTGTTGCTGGCTTTTCAGCAGCGTCATCAACATCATCAGTCGCCCACACACACACACGCACACACACACACACATGCTAGCAAACGCACACACACTGTCGCTCATCAGCGCACGCTGCAAAAGCTGTTAGCTCCGCACCACAATTTGTGGGCGTTCTGGGTGTGGCATATCTGGCCGACATATCATTCGTCCAATGGACAACAAATTTTCGTTGCCGTTCTTGCTGCGCCTGTTGCCCAAAAATATACATAACACCAACAACAATAACAACAACTTTTGCTATTCCTGCTATATATTTTTTTTTTTTTTGCTTTTCTCTCGGGGCGTTGTTCAATTTACTTTCATTTGTTCGATCTTTTTAACACACAAAAAAGTACACACTCACGTATAAGCAGCAAATTGTATAAATTATTAATATTTTTAAAATATTTGCATTTCTTTATTTGTTAATTTCTCTTACGTTTATTTTGTTTATTAAATACAAAAGTTTTCTGTTATTGTTTTACTAACGCACTTGTTATTTAAGTGCTATGCAATTGCTAGCCTTAACGAGAAGGTTAGCACAAAATACCTGACAATGCGGGTATATGTAATATTGTCTTTCCCCAATATATATTTTTATATACTTGTTTCATATTCGAATTGGCAAACTTTACATTGTAAACACAAGTTTCTTGTTTTCTGAGTAAAGTCATTTGTTTTTCACAATATCTAATGTCAGCTTTTAGAAAAATTGGCATCTGTACGGTTAACTATGCAATACGACGCCTTGCTATACAACTTTAATACTCTTCACATATCTAATTGCTTGAAGCTTTCTTGTTTATAGTTGCTAAGCGCATTCAAAGTCATGAACAAATGGCAAGCAACTGAATGTCTGTCGTATTTATTTTATTTAATAACATGTGCAAAATAAAATATATATCCAAAATATACCCAAATATGCTACGGCACTTGCATTTCTTAAGCTTAAAAAACTTTGAAGCTTCCAAGAAACTCTACCCGGTAATACTTATGTCCCACGCATATCACTAACTTAACGCTCCGAAAATCTGGCGAAAACCACCTGCCACTGGCCAATAAAAAAAAAGAAATGAAAAAAAAAGCGAAACCGTTAAAAACAATAAGCTCAATTAGCTGCAATTAACACGCTGACGATTACAGACACCCTCACACACACACACACACACACACACACACACGTCGATGCATAATTGACATTTTATGAGCAGCTGGAGCATCTGCTGGCCGCAGCTTGAGTGTCATTAACGCCGTTTCTGTCCAGCTCTGTTTCTGGCCAAGTGCGTTGGCCGCCAAAAACTGAAGTTGAATGAAATGTGGGAAAAAATGCACTTGATATGGAAACAGGGCACAGGGCGCAGAGTACTGCGCACGGCGCGAGGGGCAAGAAACCGGGACGGGTCGAATGAAATTCGAAACTTTGTTGCAAGCAAATCAAATGGAAAATTGTAAACAAAAGCCGTCGCATCGTTGTCCCGAGCTGTTGTCAACAATTTGCTGCACGGCCAATTTGCGCAAGGCCGTCGGCCAAAATATTGTTAAGCCTTATAGCCTTAACTTAACAGTTAACTTAACAGTTAAGTGCAATGCAAATAGCAGCTGGAGCAAAGGGAGGGGCTGCACTTACCTGCGGGCACATTTTGCATTGATACTTGCGTCCACTGCCGCCGGCGGGGCCATGCCCACCGCCAGCGCCCACACCGGGACCGCCCATTTTGCTGGCATTGATCGGCTGCGGGACGACAAGCAGCGCGGCCGCCGATGCAGCTGCCACCGCGTTGTTGTGATGATGCGCCGCGGCCGCAGCGGCGGCGGAGACATGATTGCCATGATGCGAGCCGCCGCCGAGGCCAGAGTTGCCACCGCCAGGGCCAGAGCCGGAGCCATTGACGCCGCTACCAAGTCCCAGGCTGCCTGTTGAGAAAATTGATAACAATAATTATATATGATAATTGAATAAACTATCAGTTAAGAGAGAAGAGAAATGGCAATTGAATTTTAGAGAGAATGCTTTCAAAGTATACAAAGTTTTATCCCATTAAAGAAGTTTTTAAACTTCTTAACTTAACTTCGAGTAAAATTGTCGTTGTTAACATTTGGTTCGGGCAACGCCGGGTTATATACGCCATGCATGTTCTCAAAGACTATGTATAATTAACAATCCCCTTTCATGTATGTATGTATATGCTTTAAAACTGTTTTATACCAAGCGCAGACGAAGGTTACTTCCGTTTTTCAGAACGAAAAAAAGTGTTTTTCAATATTGCCTTACTATGCGATTCTCATGAATTCAAAAAAGGCATACAGATTTTCATGCTTTGATTTGAAATGTTGACCAAGTTGTATTGGCAATCTATTTATTCTAATGCTCTCTCTCCTTCCCATTCTCTCACTATTTCTTTTGTGTCACTCATTTTATTCTTATTATTTAGTAAAAATGATTTTATGTGTAAAAAAAATACATATTTTAAATAATTCTCCTGGGCTTTCAATCTAGTTGTATGTGCATGTTAAGATAATCTTAGCTTGAGCTTAAACTGAAATAACACCAAAAACTTTCAAAATTAAGACTCGACTTTTTAAAGCTTTCTCGCTGTTGTAATATATGTTTCTTGGTTTTTCTTTTAAATCCTTAACATGAATAAGAAAACATGAAAAGCATTAGAAATCTTGTTGACAAGTGTTGCAGGACCCTTAAAAGGTAAAACTTTGACTTGCGGTTTTAGGACTTACCTTGTCCGGCGACCGCCGCATGATGCTCCAGACGGTTGTCATCCAGAAAGTGACCTGCAATTGAGTTGTTTGCTTCAGTTGCTGTTGAATTGTGTCAGCCGTGGCGCCATCTAATGTTGCCACGGCTGTCAGTCGAAACGAGTCGAGTGGAGTCGGATACAAGTCATGCCGCGCGCCTGTCTCTGTTGAAGTTGCCGACGTTCACTCACATCACGTTGCCGCCAGGCTGCCACCTGCCACCTGCCACCTGCCACTTGCCCCGCCGCCCATATTCCTGAACCGCGACGCTCGCTGGCTTCTCTAATTAAACTTGGCCGCTCTGATTGCCACTGGGAAATCGCGCGCGAGCTGAGTTCCAGTTTATGTGAAAATAGTTTCACAATTTTTATATTTTTTTCAAATATTTTTTATGCCTGGCCTCCAGCTATCCATCTAACCCATCCGTCTATACATCCATCTATCCATAATTGAGTGCCCAGCGCATTTGCGTGCAAAAATTGTGTGAATCTGTTGATGAGCTAAAATGCTGAGTCTGGCCAGTCTAGAGAGGATTACCGACAGTTGCTACAGTTGGGCCCAGCTGAGGCAGTCGACGCGCCCCGTTGGCATGTCAAAAGCATTTCTAATAAAACATTTGCAGACAATTGTTGCCACCAAATTGGTAGCAAAGGCTACTCAAGTTGTTCAACATTTTTAGTGTTAATTACAGGCGGGCGAATGGCGCCAGCTCCGCAAAGTTGTCCAAACTGAATGAACGGGCACAAGCAGCAGCCAGGCCAGCAGATACACTCAAAGAAAATCAAAGTCAACATTTTGTAAGGAAAATAATATTCAAAAGTGGACTCATGACATTGAAATGTGGTCTTAATTGAAGGACCCTTCTTGAAAGGAAAAATCGTTCAGCTAAGTTTGCTCTAATAAGAATTATTTTGGATGAACTTCTTGCCAAAAATCTAATCGAATCCGTTTAAAATGTTGCTTGGGTTACAAAAATACCTAAGCTTGTGAATTGTTAGGAGTGGAGCTAAACAATAATATACTACTATAATATAATATCTACAATTCGTTTCAGTTTGATTTAGTTTTAATTTCGAACCAACTACTTTAAATTTGATTTCTACCATATATGATATAAATATGAATATGTTGGATGTAACCAATAATTGGGACTATTATCATTATCATTATCATTATCATTATCATTATTATTACTATTGTTATTATAATAAGCATTGTTTATTTTTATTTGAGTTTTTTTGAGTGCAGCAATATGAGCTACTACATGCTAGTTGCAGTCAGGCAAAGTCTTAGTCCAGTCTCTGAGTCATGGTTAACATAGTTGAAGCCGTCCGTATTGTTAATTTGTACAGGTAAAAGCCAACAGGCGAACAAGTAAAAGCCAATGAATCGCATAGATACATCTACATCTACATTGTTGCCCGCAATGTTGCTGCTGATGCTTATCGCAGCAGCAGCAGCATCAGCAGCAGCAGCAGCAACATCAACGGCAGCAACAGCAACAACAATGTTATTGGCCAATTGCCTAGCGTTGACATTATCGGGTCGAGATCATTGCCGCCAACGGAGCTACTAACCCGATATCGAACCCGTTTACCGAAAACCCTTTTGGAGCGTGTTGCTGTCAATGTTGCCGCCGTTGCTGCTGCTGCTGTTGTTGTTGTTGTTGCTGTGCACAAAGATGTTGTTTGCATTTTAGGAATTTATGTAAACATGTTGTAAGCAGCTTGTTGCCAATTGTTGTTGTTGTTGTCGTTCTTGTTATTGCTGCTGCTGTTCTTTCAGTTAAAGGTCAATTTTTCGTGGGAGTATCTGGGGTGTATCTGTCCTTTGCTGAATGGGGCCACATTGTCCGCTCGCCTTTGTCTTTGTGCCAACATCATGCCGCACGCGTGTTGCAATTTAACTTTTATATGCAACGTATGCATTTTTCGTTGCAGATTGCAATCTAAAGTCTCGCGCGCGCCCTCCCCGAAACCGCATATCTGCTCGAGATTCGTGATTATCGTTTGTTGTTTTTGTGAGCAATTAATTAAGCAGCGGAGCACTGAGCTAAGCAACTGGATGGCTCAGTTGCCTGGGTCAGCTATTCCAGTTTTGGGGCAGGTCATTGCATGGGGCCAAAGTAGCGGTAGGAGAGGGGGGGGGGAGGCGTTTCGATACGTTTCGATACGGTTTGCATTACTCAACTCACCTTTTTGCAGATTATTGTGATGGTGGTGATCATTCATTTTGGCCTGAAAAGTAAAAGAAATTAGCTGGCATTGAAGAGTGGGCAGAATTAAAACGAGACTAAATTTATAGAGAATATGTTTTTATATGAATAGAAAACCAACCTCCTGCTGCATAAAAGTCCCGATAGTCTTAATAGTTGATTTGTAGAGTTCTACATATAGAGAGTAGCTATGTTTGGTCTTGAATCTTTGACAATACTAAGAACCGCCTCCCTGCATAAATACGTAGTCCAATCAAATGTATTCCACTGCATTATAAGCTAAATTATTTATTCATCAAGCTCCTAGACGCTCCTCCAAATTAAATTTAACAACAAATAAACAACATTAATTATATTCTTGACTTCGATTTAGGCAACCACTCAAAATGCTATCATTTCGATGACTTTTAAACATGCAGTTGTTTTATAAAATCAATGAACAATTACGATTAAATATTCATTAAATAATCGCTAGCTTCATCAATAGCCAATCAAAGGCAACTGTCAAAATAATAAAATACATTTCTAATAATTGCGCATAAAAAGCCAAAATTGAAATATAAACGAATTGAAAAGGTCAACAATCGAAAGCAACATCAAATGAAATGAATGCCATACAAAAAACGAAAACAAAAACAAAAATATCAAAAAATATCTAAGCCAAAATATTGTTGGACAAATGTTTTCAATGTGGTTGTCAAAACGATTTACGGCCAACAAAAGGCACAGACAAATATCTGACAATCGCCACAAAATTCAAATTGAATGCGTGACAAAAATTCGCGTTGAAAACCAAACAATATCAAAACGAGAAAATATGAATAAAAATAGTGCAAGGAAAAGTGCGAAAAAAAATCGCATAAAAATAGAAAAGGAAAAGGAAGAAAAACATGAAAAATTTAGTTGCGGCTTCTGCTCTCGATTGCATGTAAATTGTGAATATGGGTTAAAAGCCTCGAGACTAGCTCTCACTCTCACTCGTTTGCCCTCTCCCCTTCTCTCTTTTTCTCTCTCTCTCTCTCTCTCGCTCACTGTCTCTGTGCCAGACATGACCTACGACAGGGCAAATAAAATGAAATATATTCCAAAAACACCATCACAAAAAAAATGCTCTCTAAATAAAAGCCGCGTCTGCTTTTGCCTAAACATATTCGATATGTTTAGAAAAAAAAGAAACAGCCAAACAAGACAAAAGGTAAAAAACCAAAACAAACTGCCTGGAAAATGCAACAACAACAACAACAACAAAAACAAGCAAATACAGTTATTTGTATACAATATTGCACACAGCAACAAACCTTAACCTGGCTGATATGCTGGGGTCTAAATAAAAGCAACAAATCCGGAAGCAAACGACGAGTCGCGCGAATTTTAGACATTTTTTTTGTTTGACTTTGGCTGTTGTTGTTGTTGTTGTTGTTGCTGCTGCTGTTGGTATCGTTTCTATGCATGTGGCATAGAGTAATGCCAACAATCTATGGACATTTAACGGCACTCGCTTATGCCACTTAAACCACTTGCACCACTTGCACCACTTACCTCGTATTCCTGTTTCAGGGACATCGGATGATGCTCGCTGGCATGCTGATGGCTGCGCGGCGTCGGTGGCCAAAGATTGTAATCGCTAATTTCCTTGGCATGCTGCATGTTAGTTAGTCATAAAATTTCAAATAGAATAGGAACAAAAAGATTAGCAATTAGTTTATTATGAATTAGATTAAAGAGTAGCAATTATTCTGGCTGAATTTTGACCTTTAAAGTAAATGCCTTAGCAAGAGATATTCAATAGAATATGTGTATATCTAAAATATCTATTAATTTTAATTAATTTAATTTTAAAGTAAGATAATTATGCTATTGTCTTTTTTATTTGTTTTATTTTTATAACAATCTGTTGTTAAGTAAAGTTTATCCTAAACAAGCCTTACAAAATCAACCTTAACCAAATAGAGACTGAAAATCGAAAAAAGGTCCCCAAAAATAATAGAAAAATAAATGTGTATTAATATGATATATATAATATTTATATATATTTTGATTATATATATTATACATTCTCATATTTTTATATATCATACAGATTGAGTTGTTCCCTTTTCACTTTCTAGATTAATACTTGACTATGCGATTCTTTGAAATTTTATATATATTTAAAAGCATTTTTAATATTCATATTAATATAGAATATTTTGGCACAATTGAAACTAGTTAAAGAATTCCATGAATGAAATATTCAACAAAAATTTCACTTGAAATCAAATCAATTAAAATTCCATATTTTTTTACAGACTCACTTGAACAATATCTGAGGTAATATGAGTTTTAAAAATAATAAACATATATAGAAAAAACTGAAATTTATAGAAATAAACCTATCTTTGGACTTGTCACAATTTGAAACCGCTGGCAAATAAAATCGAAGTGACAATAGCAAAAAAACAGGAGCTATATATAGGTAAGTGTATATATTTATATATGTATATATATATATGGGGGAGTGTCAATTGAAATAGAAAACCGCGTTACACACAATCGGAGGTGTCAAAGCGTCGGCAAAAATGCGGCGGCTTTTGCTGCTGCCAACAAAAGGGGTGAAGAAAAAAAGTGGAAGAAAAAAGTGTTGCATAGCGCAAGGGGAGTTGCCACGGCGTGTGAAAACGCTGCAGCGTGTGTGTTTGTGTGTGTGTGTGTGTGTGTGTGTAAACCACGTAACGCTAGTTTTTGTTGCTTTACTTGCTTTTAGTTGCAAAAGTTGCAAACTCTGCAGCAGTGTTGGAAAGCGAGTTGTGGGCTGTGAGTGTGTGTGCGTCTGTGTGTGTTTGTGCAGCAACGACTAGTTAGTAGGTGGACAAACGAAAAAGTAGAAGAAATATCTACAAAAAATGCAAACACAGCTACACACACACACACACACGCGCACACTCTCAAACACGCACAGCGAACGTGCTGCGTTGGCAGCTGCTGATGAAGATGACCAGAACCAGAGCCAGCTCCAGCACCAGCGCCCGCCACATGAACGGAAGTTCTCTCTAACCAACACGCCAGCCAGCCAGCGACAGCAACAACAACAACAACAACAACAAAAACAACAGCAAGTTGTAGATGAAGGCGTCGCATGACCCACGCCAGCTTCCGGCCAGCCGCCGACGCCGCGTTCGGCTTGCAGCAGCAGCAGCAGCAGCAGCACGCAGCAAAATGGAACAAAACGAAATTTCGAAAAAAAATTTCCCAAAGAAAAGTGGGAAAAAAAATTTTGTAATATTGGTACAGCGCAGCAGCAGCGCGCGCCATTGCTGTCTCGCTCTAACCACCGCGGGCAATCGCCTCTTTTCTCTCTCTCTCGCTCGCTCTCTCTCTCTTCCGCTGACCAGCGCCAAAACATTTGGAAGAGCAGGCAAAAGCTCTTCATTCTTTTTTTTGCTAGTGGAAAAAAATCAAAACAACATTTTTTTTAACCCCTTCGCAGCGGCAGCGACGTCGACCGCAGCGTCGACTCACACTCTGGCAGCGCGCTTTGACCGCCGGGTGGTGCAGTTTCTATGTCCAGTACTCTGTCTAGTAAAAACCCAAAAAAAAAATAAATAGGAAAAAAACCAAAAAAAAATTGCAAAAAAATTAGGCGGAAAACGTGAATTTTTTCGCAATTGCAGCTCCGAAGCAACCGGAGCCCCAAACTCCGTACCGAAACGCGTTTTGCACATTGTAGCAAACCTTTTTTGGCCATTCCAGACTCCAGCTTCAACATTTTGTTTGCTGTAGCCTTTTTTTTTTTTATGTTTTTCGGAAATTTTTTGAATTTTTTTTGGAACTTGTTGTTGTTCTTTTTTTTTGCATTTTGGTTCTATTTAACTTCTTCTTTCGCCGTCATCTTTTTATTCATGCCGCTGCTGTCTGGTTCTATTGATTTTTTTCGCATTCAGCGTCGGCTAGGATAAAAACATTTTTTGTATTGTTCAATGCTCAAATGTTTGACTATTCTCCCCCCCCCCCCCCCCCCCCTCCACCCACTAACCAACAACCCTTTACAGCGGCCTGAGGTTAGAATTTCGTAGCTATTGTTGCTGTGCACAAATTTGTTCAACTTTATTGCAATTACTTTAAAAATTGAAGTTGCCAGCGGTTTTCGGGGTTTTCGCGGTCTTTTTTCTTTTGGCATAGGAGTGGGGCACTCCCACTGGCCAATAGCGTTTCGAATTCGTATTGTATCAGCCCTGACAACTGGCCCCATTAGTCAGCTTCAGTCCAGTTTTAGCCTCATACCATGTTGTGCTTTTGCCCCGCTTGGCCTTTCAATTTTCACTTTTTCCTGCTCTTTTTCTACTCTAGTATTTTTTTTTTATTTTTTAATTTTTTTTCCTTCGCTTTTCACTTTAGCGTCACGTTGACTTTTTTCTAATTGAAGTATATAAGTATTAATTGCAATGCTTTGTTGTGAGGCGTGCTGTGGTTTAGGGTCTTTCCTCTGAATGGCTGCCACTGTTGGCTGCACATTGGAACAACAAGCCTCAATGGCTTTTTAATTGGAATCTTAAAGTGAATCAGCTAGGAATTTAACCAATGTTCTACATTGCTTAAAGTCCAAACCATCTACATTTGTTACATATGTAAAAACATGAAAGGTCATCAACAATTGTTTTTAGGGTAAATAGTGCAGCGGATTTTTTGCATATTTTCTGTTCTTCATATTTTCATATATTTTCAAGCCGTTTATTGTATTAAGTTTATCTACAAATTTTATTGGCTGTCTTATGAATTATTTATTAAATACATGCTCAATATATTATTATTGCAACTCTGCTAAGGAATATTTTCCCTTGATAGACTTTTGAAAAAGATTTAGCCGCATATATTTTCTAAAAAATAAAATACTTTTAAGCTACATATTTATCGATTCCTCTATATAATTAAAGTATTTATTAAAATATGCATTCATTTTTCATTTGCACTCTATATTCTGACTGTGTATTCCCTATAATAAGTATTTATAAGTTAATATTCAACAAACGGTGAAGATAGTATCTTTAAAATTGATACGCTCGCAATACATATATAAAAACTGTAATATTCTTCTTCTTTTTTTTACATGTATGCATCTTATTTTATTTCAAATTCAGTCTTAGGGCCCAATCACCCGCATCCCACGTCTTCAATCAACTCTGCTCTAAAAGTGACTCTCGCCTGTTTCTCAACACTGTCAAGCTAGTGAAGAGTAAAAAGCTAAGCTGACTGGAAGCTAACTCGACCTATAGTCACTCTTACAAAATACTGCATATACCAGCCTGTTACAAAACTGAAGAGTTTTCATGCAAGAGTAACATATCTGTACCAGTAAAAGGACGTATATAAAGTCCAGTCTTTATACTATGATTTCTTGCTCTTTTAACTAAAATACTTTTTAATTCATATACTTTATTTATACTGTTCTCTATAATTATATATACTCTTCCCTACATTCTTCGCACGGTCAATAAATCTGTAAATACTCAAACGCACATTTTACACAATTCTAATATACACATTTAAATTAAGTGCATTTTCATTTCTTCTTCTTCTAAGTTAGCCATTAACTTGTTAAGAATTGTGCGCAAATCAAGTCGAAATCAATTTCAAGTTGGGTTAGTTCTCAACTTAGCTCGGAGAAAATTAAGTGCAATTTCTTTCAAAATTAATTAGTAAACTCAGCATTGCCCCCCTCTCTTTCTCTCTCTCTCTCTCTGTCAGCTAGCTAATTTAACTAATGCAAGTGACAACAAGAAGTCCAAGTTGTTGCCTCGTTGATTGTTGATTTTAAGCTCCGCTCGTTCATTGTTGAACTTTAAAAAATTAATTAACTGCGGATATCCTTTAAAAATCATTCGACAGGGTCGTCGCATCGAGTTTTAAATTGCTTTTGCAGGGGCAAAGCTTCTCGTTAACAAATGATTTCCATTGTGGGAGGTGGATGGGGCGGGTGGGGGGCGAGGGGGGGAGACCCTTTCCAGCTGCGGACACGCTCGACTCGTCGTTGTCCTTGGAGACAATCAATCTCCATTCAAAACAATAATTTCAACGCACGAAAAAGTGAAAAGCGAGCCAATGCAAAGAACTCGACTCAGTTCAGACCAAAAAAAAAACGAAAAAAAACACAAGCAAAGTTCAACGCGTCGCGCAAAGAAAAACTTGTTTACATCTTGAAAAGCGAAAAAAAGGAAACACGCGAAAAATGCAACAATAAAAAGCAAAAGCAGAAAAAAACTCGAAGAACTTTTTTGCTGCGTGGCACGCGAGAGCGAAACGCAGTCAAGAGCAAGGATATTCATGAAAGGAGCAGCAGGAAAGGTACGAGAAAAAAAGTTGTGCGTTGCGTGGCAAAAAGGGACAGCCAAAACTGGAGGATGCTGCTCAAAGGACACGCTACATCTTTTTTTTAGCGTCGCGTCTGCTTGCCCAGCAGAGCTGGGGACAGCGCACTTTGTTAGCTGAACTTAGGACTGGAACTGGCCATGGGAAGGGGAACTGCGACAGCATCTACCTCGCTCCCGCTCGTTCGTGTGGCAACAGACAGCCACGGTTTGGGTGTTCGGTCAGTTGCCGGCTGAAGTTTGTCGAGTGAAAGTGCAATGGGGTTTGGGCAGCGGCTGCCCAAACGGGCTCAGCGGGGCAGCGGAGGTGTTGCCAGCCGAGGGTTTGGGGGTGTCGCGGTAATGAGCTGACCTGAAGCCGCTCGCTGCTGTACGCTGCCATGTTAAGGTACTTGTATTTATAGCAGAACTTTGCCTTCGACTTACAACACTGCAAATTGATAAGGCGACTTGCAACACTTTAAAATCAACTGCAAGAGCTTTCTGCTTGTACTCTTAATATTTAATTAACTATAAATATCTATTTAGTGTTGTTCCCAAGAAAGTTCAGTGGAGCCAGTGTTGTAAAACGGGATACACGAAATCGAACTGAAAGGCAGGGCATTGATTCAAACCAACACACTCTGTACTTATTTTAGCTTAGCAGCCATGCTTATTTTTAGTATAGAACATAATTATAAGCTTGCGAGCAAGCTTTGAAATAAGACTAGCGCTTGGCTGAGACAAATTTTAACCAAAGCCAAAGGCTGTTCGAATTGAAACCGGATCCTTGTTGTGAATGACCGCGTCGCTAGGATAACTGGTCTCAGCCTCAACTGATGAAACATCAAACGTTCTAAAAGTAGAAGTCTATTGAATTATTCTGGAAAAACAAGCCGCAAAGTTAACGTCCATCGGCTCACATATTTTTAACCCGTTAATTGCCGTAACTAGAATTTCAATTAAATCAAATTTTTTCTAAGGGGATATACTCATTTAACTATCTCAATGCTAGCTGCCCTCGTCGTCCTTTTCAAGCTGCGCTCATTTAATTCACTTAGCGCGACAAGTTCCAGGTCACATTAATTATGAGCACTTCCTTTTGGCCACTTTCAAGCCCCACCAACCCGCCCACATTTAACACCGACATATAGTCGAGCGCCAAGTGCAGAATTGAGCGGCCAACTTTGGTCAAAGTTCGCTTAAGTCAAAAAGTCAAAAAAAAGAGGCTGTGAAAACTTTCAAAAAATTGTAAGACTAGGCAGGAGGGGTGTTGGGATTGGGATACTCACATCGACATTGCCGTTCCACATGTAGTGCATGCCAACGGCAGCGCCGGGATCGTGATGCGTCTGCCCGGTCATGTGCTCGGCCATCACGGCGCTCATCCAATGGACCAGGCCCTGGGTGGGATTCTGTCCCTGCACGCCGCCGATCGGCATGTTGACAGCGGCGGCAGCAGCGGCGGCAGCGGCTACAGCGGCAGCAGTTGTGCTGTTGTTGTTGCTGCAGTTGTTGTTGCTGTTGCTGCTGCTGCTGTCGTGAGTTCTGCAGGTGGCAGCGGCTGCTGTTGGCTGCGCGTTGCCTGCTTCCGGTGGTGATTTTACGGAATTGCCGTAGTTCGTACGCGTCTGGGTTGCGGGCTGATTCAAATTAATTGCGGATCCAGCGGCTGTCGCTTGGCTGGCGTCCACGGGCGGCGTTGGCGGCGTCGCTGGACCAGAGCCCGGCAATAGTCCTGAGCCAGGTCCGGTAGCGCCTGTTTGGTGTGAATTGTGTTGATTGTTGTTGTTGCTGTTGTTGTTGACGACTTCGCTTTGCGGCCCGTTGCTCGTTGACCAGGCGTAGCCGTTGTTGTTGTTGTTGCTGTTGTTGCTGTTGCTGTGTTGGGGTTTCTGCAAAGTAAAAAATTGGTTGTTTTGTTTGAAAAGGGTTTTTCATATTTTTCTTGTTGGCCCAAGCATTGAGCATGAAATATTAAATGATTTTTTGATGATTTTTCATGTTGTTGTTGCTGCGCCTATTTTTTTGGGCTACCCATAATTAGCGTAAACAAACAAACCCAATTTTATATTTTTCTTGCGCTTCTTTACATTTAAGGTAAGGGCTCAACACAAGTTGGAGACGGGTCTCGTTTTTTTTTTATTTTTTTTTTGTATATACTTTAATTGGATTTTAAAGCCAATTATGTCTGTTCAGATGGGCTGTAAGAGGACTGAAGAGCCTGTTCGCGCTCATATCCATGGAATTTAAGTCTTATAGCACCACAAAGCACAGTTGTGAAAAGTTAGAGCTAAGTATGATATACAAATTTATTTTAATACCCTTCCTACAGCTTCTTTCTTAGGAGAAGTCATTCAAGAGTTGCAAGAAAATATGAGAAATTCCCAAAGCCAGATTTCAATATAATTAATGTTTTCAATGTGAAATCCCAAGAAAAAGTATCTTAAAGTGAACTAAACCCAGCAATATTTGATACAAGCAAAATATCAAAACCAAAAATCATTGTTTTCTTCAATTATTCTTATTTGTTTTATTTGTCCATATTTATATATGCCTTAAGCTCGGCTGGCTTATAGAGTCGTAGATTCCTTAACTTAAATAAAAGATGTTAAATCAATTTTGATATAAAACCAAGACATTATCGCATATAAATCGTCAGCAGAGAAAGTATGTCAATTATGCATATATTCACACGTAATTAATAAAAAACTTTTGTTAAATAGTTGCCCAACTTTGCAGACAACTTTCATACTAACATGCTCTGCCAGCGCCACATTTGAAACTTTCTCAAGGACACGCTGCTGCGCCTTAGTTGCTGCCACATCCTGCGGCTTCAGCTGGCTGCGCTTGGCTGACTCCACGGCGGCAACACAAACAGCTGAGAACAACAAATTGCTCGACAGGTGTCCTGGCGGGGGCGTGCCAGCTGCTGTAAATTTCGCCGGGGGCGTGGGCGATGGGGTTTGCGGGCACCAACGGCTGGCCTCGCCTTGTTGTTGCTGCTGTTGCTGCTGCTGCTGCTGCAGAACGGCGCTGGCGAAGAGGCTCGTGTAGAATTCAGCGGGCATAAGAAAGGGCGGTGGTGCGGGCGTGGCAGCACTTAGCGCTTCCATATAGCTGCCCAAGTCGTGGGCGCGACGACGCCGCAGCTGATCCTTCAGCATGGCTGGCGCTCAAATGTAGGCAACACTTTTTTCACACACTGTCTCTGACAATTTCACTTTCGTTAGGCAGAGGCAGCGGCAGCGGCTGGTGGGAGTGTGTCTAACTCGTGCGCCGCTCGTTCGATTTACACATGCAAACAAAGCTGTGACCGAGCCGCAGGCGTAAAACAAAAAACAAAAAACACAACAAGTGGCATAAAGAACAAAAAATAAACACAAAAAGTTTTTGCTGGCGCTGTTTTTTTTTTTTGTTTTTATTTATTATTTCTTTGGCTAAACTTTTATTTTATACGAGAGGCCGCACGAAAAAGTTTTGTTAGCATTTGATATGCTTTATTTGTGGCTGCGACGCGTCGCCTTTTTTACCCCAACACTATTTTGTATTTTTAGATGCAGTTTTGTTCAAATAAAAATTCGAAAAAAAAACCTCTCGGCAAATGACCTTGAAAAAGGTTTTTGTTGTTTTTTTGTTTTAGTTTTTCTATTTTATTTCGCTTTTATTTGGCATTTTAGCGGTGCTCTTTGTTTAGTTTACATTCGGTTGAGAAATTGTGTATGATTTATTTGTTGCTTTAGTTGATTTGTTGTTGTTGTTGTTGCATTTCCATTTGCTGCCACACTTTGTGGCAGGTTGCGTGTGATGTGTGGTAAACGCTATTTTTCCCATGATATCGCTCAGATTGTCGCTGTTTGGAGTGCACGGATTTTAGATTGGTTTGTTGGTTGTCGGTTTCACTGAAGAGCTTAAAAGTATCAAAGGGCTAAGGGCCCTACAATTTTATTGGCTAAATGAAGCTAATAGAGTTTGCTCAGCTAAATAATAGAAAACTCAGATCTAAATAAACTGTTAGGGACAAAATTACACAGTTTTAAATATTATATAATTAAATAAATATTTGAATAAATTGCTATAAAATAATTAAAATTAAATTCTTTAAAACAATGTTTGACTTACTTGAAAATAAATTAAATAAATTACTTAAAAATAAAAAATAATAAATTTTACACAAGAAATGTCTTTAAATATTCATACTTATATTATTTTTCGTATATTTATTCTTTTTATTACTACTTGTTTATATTTTGCAGCTTCATATATATTTTATAGATTTAATTATAATTAATATTTATATTAAAATGCCATTTATTATTTTGAAATATTTTGCACTTTGTGCGTTTTAGGAACTTTTTGTTGCAAATTGTACACTTCTTCTTTGGTTTCAACTTTTTACATGATTATTTAATTGTTTTGCACTTTCTTTAGGAACTTTCGTTGCGGCATAGATTACGTTGTCTAAGCCAAAGCACACGCTGCGCGCATTTAGCACACTCTTTGATTCATGTCGTATACGTGACGTAGCACACACACATATATATTTCTGATATATATCAGATGTCAGATCTTAGACAAATCGAATGCGCGGGCTCTTGTTCACGCTGTGCTGGAAATTGAGGCGTTAGTCGTATGCATATTACGCATACGCCGCGTTGCAGCTGCTGCTAAACGTTGCGGCTTGTCAAGTATTTGTATGTGTGTGAGTGTGTGCGTTTTTGTGTGTGCGTGGGATTTTATGTCGAGTCCTTGTCTCAGTCCCGTCCGTCTCTGTCATGCAGTCAGCGAGCGTGGGATAGCTTGCAACAACTGAACAACAGAAACTCAAAGTGCAGCAGCTGAAGCTGAAGCTGCCGCAAAAGAAATTGCGAGCGCGCGCGAAGCAGTCAAATATGTATACAAAGAAACACACACACATAAACACACTCACATACATACATGCTGTGTGTGTGTAAAAACTGTTTTGTATGTTGTGAATGTTTTCTTTTTTTTCTCCTTGCTCTGCTGCCCGCGTCCCTGCAACGTGAGAGCAATCTCAGAGTCAGCTCGAGTTTTTGTTGTTCTCTGTGTGTGTGTGCATTTCTTCTTATTTATTTTTTTTTTGCTTGCTTTCATTTTATTTTTTCTTATTTTATAATTTTTGCTCCTTGCTCCTTTTTTATGCACGCTGCCGTTATAAAGACATACATTCGCAGCGCACTGCAGCATTTTCTTGTAAGAAAACGTAGCGTATATGAAAAAAATATAGCTGAATTTGCGCGATGTCCTGCAGGCCGTGGGATGTTCTAGCAAAGGGGACGCAGAGGGTGTAGGGGGGGGGGGGGGGCTGTTAGCTTGGTTTATGTCACAGGGGTGGGGGTGGGGGAGGCGCTGGTCTAGTAACTTTGTGCATTTGGTGCAAGGGTTTCGGTGCTTGGGCTACAGCACGGCAGATTGATTTTCTTTTATACGGTTTGCTCATCTTTGTGATTTTTATTATGTTTTTTCTTGCTGCTGCTATTTCATTTTATGTGCGTGCGTGTGTGTGTGTGTGTTTGTTAAAAAGTTCTAAGTACTATAGTTATTGTAACTGAAACTGAAGACGCGCCGCTGTTAAGCATTCTGTATACTCTATGTATGCGAACTCGAAACAAATCAAATGCCAAAAGAAAATAAGCCAGACATTTGCTGAAAATTGGAAAAGTGTTCAAGCTTCAAACGAGGCAGCTTTGCGACAAAGTATAAACAAATTTGTGGTTCTTAGAAGTCTCAGCATAGAAACAATCTCAGAATATAACGTTTGCCATAATCTAGAATATAGTATATACGCCTATTCGAAGTCTAAATCGCAATAATCTCACAGAATTTATCTCAGAATTGTATGCAAATTGTTTATCAGGCGTGTTTATCTAAGCCTAAATTGCCACAAAATATGCGCACGAATTAAAGCGACAACAGAATAAATGTAAACAAAACACAATTAAATAACAACATTTTTAAATAAAATTGTTTTGCTCTTCAAAAATAATATTGATTTAAAGTTTTTTTTATTTAAAAGCTTTGCCAATTTTATAATTTTTTTAAAGCTGTAGCTCAATAGTGTGGAATTTAAGAACTGCCTAATCAAATTATTATTATATTATCAAGATCTTACAGTCTGATGTGCCATTAATTGCATTAGCTTAATGCAATACAACTTACTAAAAGCTTTAAGCTCCTTGCCTGAATATAGAACATACGAAAGAAATGCTCAAAAGTCTATACAAATTATTGCTAAGTGTTTAGAACGCTATTTTCGCAAAGTTATGCAGCACTGTTTACCATAATACTGATTTGTTTATTCAAAATGAACGATATCTAGTGTTGTGTAAGGCTAAGAATAGTTGTTGAAAAATGCTCAAGCTAACTGGGTTAGCCAACACTGCAATTAGTGTTGCACTTGCAGTTATTTCAAGTAGAAGAAACCGGATCGTACTACACGAAACGTGGAGAACTCGAATGTGAATAGACAGATTTTGGCTGTCTTAAATGGGGCACCTTTTAACACTAAAATATTTTTAGAAAAAAGAGTGTTAAGCAGTCATACAAATAGTGCATCAAAGGTCAGCCACTAAAACGACGATCTAAGTAGCGGAAAATTCTTCAATCGAGTTATATAGAAAGATAAGATGCAGCCAAAAGCTTGACTCCACCCAGGGCAGCTGGTCTTAAGATGGAATTTCCCACGGTACGTCAGGTGAGGTAAGTCAGGTTGTTGTTGCTGTTGCAGCGCGTAGCACTTGTAGCTGTTGATGACGCTTATAATTGGGCTGTGTGTGTGTCTGTGTCCGTGTCTGTGAGTGTGCTTGTGTGTTGGTGTGTTTGTCATGTGGCGCCCGGACCTAGCATGCAGGTTAGTTAGCTGGAAAACACGCGACGCGTACGCGGCACGTCGCGCCGACGACCAATAGATTTGGCCAAACGCAAGCGAACTGAAGACAACGACAGTTGCAGCGCGCCAAAGGCCACGGACACATGCAACAATCGTGAACGTCGCAGCTGGCGTCGGCTGCGCCGGAAGCAGCAGGATAAAAGCGGCGACTTATGCCAGCAGCAGCAGCAGGAGCAGGAGCCATGTTTGTTGTAAGTAGCAGAAGCAGCAGCAAAAATGGCGCGCGCGAAGAGGAAACTCAAGAAGTAGCAGCAGCTAGGTCCAGGGCCAGCACACACACAGGCACACACACAAGCACACACACAGACACACACAAGCGGCAGTAGCATAAAAAAATTCAAGTGAAATTGTATTTTTTTTTAGCTGCCTTCACATGAAGCAAAAAATAGCAGCGACTAAAAGAAAATACATTACAAAAGGCAGCGGCGAGTAGCAAAAAAACGAAATAATAACAAAAAGTTGTAAAAGAAAAGCGAAACCGTGTGATGTCCTGGCACACACACACACAGCCATACACACACACACACACATTCAAATATATATATATATATATAAAGTGCTGGCAGCAGCAGCAGCAGCAGCGCGGCGACAACACATCGAAGAAAGGATAAAAACATTCAACATTCAAGCGCGCTGCGCTGCCAGCAGCGACGCCGACGCCGGCGTCGACGTCAAGCGTCAGCGCTTGGCCGTTAACATTTCATGAGCGCCAATTTCTTTGCCTTCATTTTGTTTATTATATGTTTGTTTTTTTTTTCTGTTGCTGTTGCTATTCCTTCTGGTTGTTATTTCTGCTGCTTGCACATTTCGAGGACTTTTTTTTTTTTTTCTATATTATTTCCCAAACTTATTTCTTTATTTTCAAAGCGCATTTTCTTGTGTTTTTCTCGATTTACGTTATGTGTTTTTTTCAAATCTTTTATATGTTTTATTTTGCTTTTATTTGATCATCCGAAATAATTGCTCAATAAAGCTATATTGTTTTCGGCCATGCTTACAGGACTTTATAGCTATTACAGCATCAAGCCACCTAGTCGCCCTCCCGCTGCGTCCTAAGCTGGCTTTTCCGTACTGTTTCTCCTTTTTGTTAAGCGCCTTTGAAACAACTTAACAAACGGAACAAGAAAACTTTTAGCCCGCAACTGCAAGGCTTTGGCAGCGCTGCTCGCGTCGACGTCGACGGCGACGGCGACGTCGTAAATGCAATGCGCACAGCAAAATATAAAAAAAAAAAACAGAAAAAAAGTAAAACAGAAAACAAGTATCCTGAACCGGGACCTGAAGCATATGTTTTTATGTGCGTTGCTTTTTTATGTTCTAGGATTGCGCTTGCCGCTTGCAACGCGAATATTCCTTTTACAGCAGACACACACACGCACACACACACACGCACAGGCACACGCACACCCTCACCTAAGCCCACACACAGCAACATTTCCAAGTAATATGGTTTTCCTTCTGCATTCGCTGATAACAGCAAAGGATATGCTCCTGCCAGTTCTCGCCGGAGATAAACCTAAACGTCGCCTTTGAGGTGAGCTGCATCCGGCGTTAAGCGGAAGCGAGAATCGCCGTAGAATAACGTTAACGGATAATTGAAATTAAAGGTCAGGCGTGCAGGAAACGGCTCCGGGTAAGAAATAGGCGCACATAAATGTGGGAAATAACAAGCAGCTCTATAAACTCCATAATCTTTATAATATGCTTAGATGTAGTTTCAAGCCAAGAGATATTATTCACGAATGTCTTAAACAAAAGATGTCGAAAGATGGGAATTTCCATCTCTATTTCTATGTTATATAATAGGGATTCTTGGGTAAAACTAATCAGTAAGATAAATAAGATAAAGAGCCAAGAGATATTATTCAAGAATGTTTCTCTGACCATTCCTATCTCTATTGTAATATTATGTTATAGAAATTCTAGGGTAAAACTTATCTATTAGCTAAGCACATTAAAGGAAATACAACACTAAAAAAGAATTCTGGTTCCATTTACTTTATATAATAATTTCAGCTTCTCTCTTATCTCTATAAAGAGCAACTCCTTTGTAACCCTGACCTGCCCCACTTTATTCAGCTGTAGACAATATTTCTTAGGGCTAAGGTCTAAGTTTATGTAAGTCCTTTAGAGCTGGTTTTAGTTACTTTATTTCAGATTCTCTTCGATTCCATAAGAGTCTACAGCTTCTCTCGTATCGCTATAAAGTGCAAGTCCTTTTTACCCTGACCTGCCCCGCTTTAACTTGCTGCGAACAAGTCAAAGCCTCAACAAGGCTCTACAAGTTGTTTTTACCTTTTGCCATAAAGGACATTTTGATGTCCATATTCAGACCCAACTGTTGCATCCTTTCTTAACATGCGGAGCGTAGCTCTAGTATATTCGATTGCAGAGCTTTTCGTTGAAAGCTTGAAAGCGCAACACTTTCGCTGCCTAATTATGGCATATCCTGTGCACGAACCAGCTCAGCAAAAAATGTCCTGCGTGCACAAAAAGCAGGCGCAAGCTTTTAGGCTTTGCGCTCAAGAGCGCAAGAAACCAGCTCAAAAACTGGCCGCGCTCTTTAAATCAAGCAAAGAGCAAGAAGTTGCCGCCTCTCTCTCGCTCTCTCTCTCTCGCACTGTGTGTGTGAATTTGGGGGCGTGTTTGTTGTCATGTTTTTTACTCGCTGTCATTTTTTGCCTCTCGCTTTTTTGTCCCCCCCGTTTGTTTTTTGTGGCCTTTAAGTGTTATTGGATGATTTCATGAAAATTGATTTGGAGCACGCCCCCTTGTCGGTGGCAAGTGGCAAGTGCTGCTGTACTTAAGTGCAACTCACCCGAAACTGATGCTCCACGGGACAGTCCAAGTTCAGGGCATAATCCTCGACAACGGCGCCCAGCGATGAGTTGGCAGATGCCTCGCCAAAAACCTGCTCGATTTTAATGGCCGGACTCAGCAGCGTGCTCCCAGATGCAGTTCCCGTTCCACTCACTGTTCCCGTTCCCGTTACCGTTCCCGTTCCGTTAACTGGAACTGCAGCGGCTGCAGCAGCAATTATTGGCGTCCCCTCGGCTGTGCTCTGGCCAAGTCCAAGATTGAGTCCAAGTCCAGTTGCGGCATGGTTGCTGCTGCTGCTGTTGCTGTGGCTGCTGTTGCACGGTGTACAGGGCGTGGGCGGGCAGGGCGTGGCCGCATGTCCCTCGTGATAGGGTGTCACAACGAACGAGGGATACGATCGGAACTGATGGTAGTCGGTGTGTGGATGATGCGCCAGCTGTGGTCCTTTGTACCAGGTACCATGCATAATCATTTAAACAGATCAACCCGCGGCGTTGCTCAACACTGCTTTTGGCACTCAGCACTTTTAGTATTTGAAAATATTTAATTTTTTTTGCCACTTATTCGTCTTTTCAAGCACTTTTGTATCGCGTTTCGCTTCTGGTAAATCATTTGATATTTTTTATTGCTGGATGGGACAACTCTAGACTTTATGGAAAGTATAATATTGTTAGTTTCCTTTCCAGTTACTTTGTCTCAACTTTCTTTTGTACATCTTTATAATGTTGAGCTGCAAGTTCTATATATTCTTCAGCTACTTTAAGAGAGTTTAAGATGTGCCCAAAAAAGACGGGATCTTATTCTTCCTATTTCTAGGCATGAGATTTATATAATTGGTCTGCTTACTTTTAAAAAGTCTTCAGCTAAGTTGGCAGATAATCCGGCTATAACCAAGCTGGGATCAGAGTCCCAACTGTTGACATATGATTGATTCATTAAAAACGGACTTGAATCAATACTTAGTAATAAAATCTTGCCTGTAGCTACAATTTCTTGATTCGTTTGCATGCACTTTTCCAAGCCTGGGGAATACTTCTTACCAAATTCTCAAATTTTATTATATATATATATCTTTTTCCATGCATATTTTTTTTCAGCAGATACTGCATTCGATAAGTCTGATTAAGAATCAAAAAAAAATTATAATTTGAATAGAAATTAAAAATTTGTGATATTTTGTCAACTTTATTTAACTACCAGCTTACGTAACATTATTTTATCATTTATTGTTATTTTCTATATAAATCATTAACAAGTAGATCAACTTTCTGAGATTAGAAATACAAATTTACGGGATTTTGAATGCTTGAAATACATCGCAGTCACGTTTTGGATACTCTATTTCGAATACTCACATTTTGATTACTCTCTTTCATTTATAACCCAGTCAAATCTATTTCAAATACTCTCAATTTGATTACTCTAATTCATTTAGACCCTAGTCAAATATATTCTTGACTAAATCATTTAATATTCGTAAACAGGTATTTTTTATTTACTTGACTTTCACTTTGAAGCAGTCCACAATCAAAATGCTTGGCAATTAGCACTTTTGTTATTCTGAGTGTACTCAAAATGGCGTCACAATATTCATTCACTTTTGACCGCCGATTCATTCACAAACGATTCAATACATTCGTTTTGACTGCACTTCTTCGTTTTTTATTTTTATTTGGTTGGCTTTCTTTCTTTCTTGTTGTTGTTGTTGTTGTTGTTGTGTTTAACAATATGTTGCACTTGCTTGTTGTTGTTGTTGTTGTTGTTGTTGCACTTTTTAACGCGCTTGTTAATTGTGAATGCAGAGCAAAGCCAGCTGCAACTGCGGTATGGCGAAAATGCGTTGCACTTGGCGACTGCAACAAAATTCTTGGCGTAACGCGCGAGCACAAAAAAACGCTCGACTCTTGGCAAACGCGCGCGAGACTGTTGGATATTATTGGTAACTGGATACTGGCTACTGGTCTACTGTGCTGCTGTGCTGCTGCCTGGTACAGTGGCTACTCGATAGTCTGTGGCCCGGTCTCTTGGCGCTGGCAAAAAAAATTGCTGCCAGCTCGCAAGAATTCCGAACTCGAATGCTGACTGCGGCGACGAAAAAAACATTCAAATGCCTTCGCCGCCAAATCGCAGCCACTGCGACGACGTCGACGGCAGCAGTGGCCCCACACACACACACACACAAACAAACACACGCAAGCACATATACACGAGCGCTCTCTCTTTGGCCACTGTGCGCTCTCGCTCTGATGGTGCAGCTTTTTTCGGCAAAGGCAATTGGGGGGACGCAGCGACGGCGGCGCATGCGCAGCTTTTTACTCTTTTTTGGCGCGCGCAAACAAAGCAAATAACAACTAAAACGACAGCAAAATCCACGCGCGCTCACTCTCTCACGCTCTCTGCCGCAGCAGCTGCTGCTGCTGCTGCTGGTGCTGCTATGTAGAAAAAAATTGTTTGTGGTTTTTGCTCAGCTGCGCTCTTGAGCAGCTTTGATTTGATTGTGTGCTTTTTGCTTGAGTGCTTTTGCTCTTTGAGCATGAATGAGCATGCTTCCACTGCTGCTGCTGCTGCTGCTGCTGCTGCTGCTGCTGCTGCTGCTGCTGTTGTTGTTGTTGTTTGGGGCAGTAGGCGTAGGCGTTTTCCAACAAAAATGGAAAGTTCAAGCCAAACCGAACTGTAATTAACTGTTCAAGTAGGCGTGTCAATCATTTTAATTAAATTTGTTTTTGTTAAATTTGTAAAATGTTGTAGGGTTCTCTTTTCGGCAATCCATAAATTCCAAATTCTTTATAAATCTTCTTCATGGCAGATCCCAACGCACAGGATGAGCCACCGCCAGGCGATCAGGGAGATCAACCGCCTGCCAATGAAGAAGAACAACCACCACCGCCACCCCCCGAGAACCCGGAGGCGCCACCGCCGGCCAACAATGACAATCCACCGCCAGCTGAAGACCAGCCGCCGCCGCCGGAAAACGCTCAACCGCCCGAAGCGCAGGCCAATCCCGAGGAGCAGCCCAATCCCAGCAGCCAGAGGTCGCGCAGGAGACGCTCCTCGACTAAAAGCAATGACGGCAATGACAATGTCTTATATGGTTTCCGGATATTCCGTACTATAGTTCTATTTGTGCTGGGCTGCAGCATTACCTGCGAGCTGACCGGCATCGTCCTTTGGCGCTGTCTCGAGGGGAAGAATCGATAAGCCCCAACATCAGATAAAACGATAAATTTCTTTCTTTTTTTTTTTAAGCTTTGATTCCAGCATCTAAGTTGTTCGAACCGAAATAAAAGTTGTCTAAGACTCAATTCAATCGATGACTTTACATATATATAATATAATATCATTTATCAATTATATATAAAAATAATATATATATAGTCTGTCCCTAAGTGGAGACTACTATATAAAATGCATGTCCTAATATCTTTTAGGAAAATATGCTTTTATACTTATCCAGAGAAAAGAGGAATTTGAAGTCTTCAAAAAAGGATGGTATAAGTTTTTTAGTTCAGAGAAACTAAGTTTCTCTCTTTATTTAGAGAATATATACTATAATTTGCAGTCATAATAACAAATTTTCTAAAGAAATCTTTAATACAATTATTTTTTCGATCTTAACATTATTATTATATTATTTTAAAATAAATATTAAATATATTATTTGCAAATTGCAAACCCTTCTCAATGCATCAAGACATATATCTAAATTCTTATCTAAACTTTTTCTCTCTTAAAATGCAGATAAAGAATATGGATGAGCCAAAATCCGAAGAAAGATCATACACATATATCATTTATCACATTCAAAATCTATACAACAAAACTTATCCCCACACACACACACACATACATAACGAAAAATCTTAACTGTACCGTTATAAAAACCACAGTGAAACCTCTCCATTTCAGGGTTATTCGCCGACAAAAGACAACAACAAATGCATCCGCAGCGTTGGACGCACATTAGCCCATTGACCAACTTTTGCGGATCGGGCAACAATAATGAGTTTTTAATACATGTAATATTCAAATTAAAATTTCAGCAAAGAAAAAAAAAGCCGTTAGCAAAAACGAAAATCAAATACATAGCCGCGTTTTTTTCTTATTAGTTTTGGTTTTTTTTTCGCGCGGCCAATAATCGCACGTATTCATTTCAAGTGCACATAAAAACACTCAACTGAAAGCTCAAGAGCAGGCGCTGCAAAAAGCGCGCTCTTAAAAAAATGCCCGAGCGAGACAACAGGCGGCAGCAGCAGCGCTGTCAGCGCTGTGGGAGCGAGCAGTGCAGCGTGTGCCAAAGGCGGCGGAATTTTTATTGGAGCACTTGACGTTGCCTTTTTTTTTCGTGTTCGCTCGTTTTTGTTGTCTCTCCGGCTGCTCGCCTTTGGATTGGCATTTTTATTTTTTTTTTGTATGTCATTTTTTTTTTATGTGCTGCTGCTCTCTTCGCTCTTTGCTATGGCTGCTTTGGTTGTTGTTGTTGAAGAATTGAAGAAGATTTTTCGGCTCGTTCGCTGCGCCGCTGACAACTGCAACAAATCCGTGGGGGAAAAGCGCCCGCATAAAATTAAAAATTAAATAAAATCAAGAAAATAAAGAAAATATAAGGCAAGCAAAAAGAAAACATTATGCAATGGCAGGTTAGTTAATCAATGCAACTGCAACGTTGCCACCTTTGGGGATTAGGCCGCGCGTTGCGTCCAATTCGAGCCGAGGTCTGGTACATGGAGCTCTACAAATGGAATGCGAAACGCTCGCAATGTTGTAATGCTTGCCATTTTTGCATTACTAGGAAATTGCTTTATTTAGCGCTCGATTTGCAAGGCTTCCGACGGCAAACAAATATAATATAGAGTCCATTTTATCGACGCTTATCGGCTAATTTGATTATTTCATTCAATCAACAGCAACAACAACTGCAATTAGGTTTTTTTAGTTCCCCTTTTTTTTGTAAATTATATTTTCATGTTCTGTCATTTGCTTAATGCCAACATTTGTACTCCAGTCTTTTGGTTCGTGCTAAATTTCCATTTGTTTGAGCGCCATTAAAACTCGCCTTATCGCCCAAACGCGGCTGTCATTTCAATTGTTTGCACTGTCATCAATGCAATTTTGACCAGTTCTGCTATATGGAGGGGAATTATAAGTGAATCTCCATTGATAATTCCAGTAATGGTTTAATAATGATTATGGAATTGGTAGATGTGCATTGTAGTGCAAGAGAATGTTGATATCTAAGTATTATATAGATGAGTCCATAGAGCTTAGCAGCTATTAAGATAGATACTAGTAGCATAGCTTAACAGCGATTAAGATAGCAGTTACTATCTTAGAACAGAGCACAAATAATCCACATATGTAAATTCTGCCTGAATGTTGGGCACTCTCAAAAGAAAAGTCTTAAGAGAAATTCAACAGGAAAGAAAGTTGGAAAAAATATTTAAAATGTCAAAGAATGTATTAAGGATTTTATTAAATAATTATTTGATTATAATCAAAGCTATTTTATTTTGTAAGATTGATTTATATTTAGGCATTTAAATCTTTCCAAACTCTGTCTCTATATGTAAAAACTGTTTGTCCTGACTGACAGACTGACTGATTGACTGACTGACTGACTGACTGACTGATTGACTGACTGATTGACTGACAGCCCAAATTGTATGGAGCTATGAAGATGAAGTTGCACATTAGAACGGGGTTTTGGGAAATTAGGTATATAAATGGATCAAAATTTTCGATTTGCAAAGGTTAAAAACCTAGATGAAATCCATATGCTTGTTTTGTTATGATCGTACCTAAAGGTATATCCATATCATATTATATACATATTAAACGCCTTGATTCTTATATCCATATTAAAAATATGTTCGAGTTATTAATGTTTAACATAATCAGCTCAAATATATTATAAATTAAGATGATTCATCAATATTTGTATAGCAAAATAGGGTTTTTTTCTATTTGAAATAAAGTTTGGATCCAAAGTATGCTTTCTTTTACTTTTAGTTTAACTAAACTAGAATAAACTAATCACTGTTTAACTAATTGGTTCTTTTCTTTTCTGAAGAAAATCCACCAATTAATTTTTTAAACACTGAGCCAATATAATATAATAATATATATTAGTACATTTTTAAAAATGATTTTATTGTCCTATACATAGTTTGCTGGCAGTGTTCATCAGATCACTTATACAAATATTTTTAACCACAATTCTGAATAATTTTGGGTAATTTTCCTTTCTGAAATACACTGAAAAAACCAGCAGATGCACAAAACGTTTCGACTTATAAGAACTGTTGCTGAAAACATGCAATTAACAGCGGAAACCGCAATGGGAAATCTTCGAAAATGCATTTTGTTGTATTCAACATATTAAAAAATTGCGGGGCCCAACCGCAGCTGGACAGGAATAGGATGGAGACAGAAACAGCTGTGCGGCGCCATTGACGATGCGAGCGAAATGTCAAAATGCAAAAGCCACAACATTTTGTGCTGGCGGAGAGGCAGTCGGAGCTGGAGTCAGAGCTGGAATCGGAGCTGGAGTCGGAGCTGGAGTCGGAGCTGGAGTCGTCATGGTTGGTCATGGACGCCAAATTGGTTGACAGACAGGCTGGCAGCGCGGCAATGGCGCAGGGGCAGCGCTGCCATAGGGCTGGAG